ACTTAGGAACCCCTGATAGACAGTGGAATCACACCACACCAATGGTCCAGTGTAAACTATTGCCGAGTGCACGGAACAGTGAAACAAAGCTGTCTTTTTCATCTTGGCTTATAGGCACACATTTTAACCTGTGTGGGCACATGCATGGGTGTGTGAGCCAATACCGGGACTTGAACTCAGATCCTCACATTCTTGTTTGGCTATTTTTGCCTAAAGCTGAAAAAAGTGCCCAACAGCATTTTCATACTAAAAATAAGCAGGCCAGGTACCAGTGGTTCATACCTGTTATCCCAGCTACTCAGAGGCTGAGATCTGAGGATCAAGGCTCAAAGCCAGGGGGCTGGGAAGGTGGCTCAGTGGTAGAGTACTTCCCTCGTACCACATAAGCAGAAAAACCCGGAAGTGGCACTGTGGCTCAAGTGCTAGAGTGTTAGCCTTGAGCTGAAGAGCAGAGGGACAGTGCCCAGGCCCAGAGTTCAGACCCTACAATCAACAAAAACAAAAAAAGTGGTTCAAAGCCAGCTCAGGCAGGAAAGTCCCTGAAGCTTTTATCTCCAATTGACCACCATAGCAGCCAGAAGTAGAGCTGTGACTCAAGCGGTAGAGCGTCAGCTTTGAGCACAAAGCTAACAGACAGCACCCAGGCGCTGAGATCAAGCCTCAGGACCATCACAAATAAATAATGAATAACCTAAGTAACAGTATTGTACAACCACTGCCCCAGTCTAGTCCCAGGTCATTTCCATCCCCTGAAAGGAAATCCCCTTGCTCAGTACTTACTTCCCCTCTTCCTACTCTCCAGCCTTGACAACTATAGCTATGCTCTTCGGGATAGGTCATGCACATGAAGTCATATAACATATTGCCTTTGTGTTTAGCTTTTTTTCCCCTTGATCACTGTGGATTTTATTTATTTTTGTTGTTATTGTAGAATTGATATACAGAGGGGTTACAATTACATGAGTACAGTTCTTTTTTTGGGGGGGGGTCCTGTTGTGGGACCTGAACTCTGGGCCTGGGCGCTGTCCCTCAGCTCTTCAGCTCAAGGCTAGCGCTCTACCACTTGAGCCACAGCGCCACTTCCGGCTTTTTTCTTTTGGTTTATGTGGTGCTGAGGAATCGAACCCAGGGCCTCAGGCATGCAAGGCAAGCACTCTACTGCTGAGCCATCTTCCCAGCCCCTACAGTTCTTTTTTTAACTATTATTGTGTTTTCAAGGTTCACTATCTTGTTGAAAGGGTGATATTGACCAAAAAACGCTGTATTTTTAAACTATTTTGTTGAGTGGCAACGCCTTGGTACAACTACTTAAAAATAACAAAAATTTTCAAAAAAACCTTCTGAGGGAATATAGGACACTATGTGAAAGGAAACATACTTACTACCTGACATATATAAAACCATTGTATGTCACCTCTAAAACAATAAAGTAAATTAGGAAGAAAAAATATTTTGTGTTTATTTTTTCTTTTGGTGTTTGTTTCCCAAATGACATAGCAGTTATGAACTTATAAAACCCTGTGCAAATGTATAGTAATATATACATGCTGATGTTTATATATTTATACGTTTATATATTTGTATAAATATACACTTATACCTTCAGTATTAGCCAAGTTTAATTAATATTTGATGTCTTAATTCAATAAACCAGTTAACAAAGAAGAAGGAAGAGGAGGACGAGGACGAGGAGGAGGAGGAGGAGAAAGAGAGAAGGAGGAAGAGGAGGAGGAGGAGGAGGAAGAAGAGGAAGAATTATTCTAATTAGAAAAGAACATCGGGCTTGGAATATGGCTCAGTGGTAGAATGCTCACCTTGCATGCATGAAGCCCTGGGTTCAATTCCTCAGTACATAAACAGAAAAGCCAGAAGTGGTGGTGTGGCTCAAGAGGTAGAGCACTAGCCTTGAGCACAGAGAGGCTCAGGGACAGAGCCCAGGCTCTGAGTTCAAGCCCCAGGACTGGCAAAAAAGAAAAAAAAAAGAACATTATCAGATAACACCAGACTATCTTCCACAGTAGCTGACTAAGTCACATTTCTTCTAGGAACATTTGCGTTTTCCTGGCCCTACAAACTGCAAAACATCTGCTAGGGTAGGTCTCCTGATCTTTCATTTTAGCCCTTGTGGTGGACGTGCTATGGCTTCTCCTAGGGCTTTAATTTGTATTCTCCTTCTTTTTGGTGCTACGGACTGAACCCAAGACCTCACTTGTGTTAAGTATGTATTCTACCACTGAGCTGCACTCAGCCCCATTTTGGATAAGTTATCAGATATGATTATTGAATGTTTTCTCTCCTATGGGAATGACTTATGTTAAAGCTGCCACCATCAAGACATTCTGGTTGTGGTGAAGGATTGACTACAGACCAATGGGACAGAGTGCAACCAGGCAGTGTGCTGCACACCTTTGATTCTAGCACTCAGAAGGCAAAGACAGAAATACCATGAATTTGAGACCAGCCTCAGGTACATTGTAAGAATCTGTCTCAAAAATTAAAAATTCTGGCTGGGTCCTGGGGGCTCACACCTGTAATCCTAGCTACTCAGTAGGCTGAGATCTGAGGATAGCAGTTCAAAGCCAGCGCAGGCAGGAAAGTCTGTGAGACTCTTATCTCCAATTAACCACTAGAAAACCAGAAGTGGAGTTTCCAGTACCACAATCAAAGTGGTAGAGGACTAGCCTTGTGCAAAAAGCTCAGTGGCAGCACCCAGGCTGGCATAAAACAAAAACCAACGCTGGGCACTGCTGGCTCATACCTGTAATCCTAGCTATTCAGGAGGCTGAGATCTGAGGATAGCAGTTCAAAGCCAATCCAGGCAGGAAAGTCTGTGAGACTCTTATCTCCAATAAACCACTAGAAAACCAGAAGTGGCGCTGTGGCTCAAGCCATGCTCACCTTGAGCTGAAGAGCTGAGGGACAGCGCCCAGGCCCAGAGTTCAAGCCCTATAACCAAAAAAAAAAAAATCTTAGCCAGCCCCTGGTGGCTCATACTTGTAACCCAAGCTATTCAGGTAGCTGAGACTAAAGAGCAAAATTTGAGGGCAGCCCAGTAAAGAAAGTCTGTGAAATTCCCCTCCAAAATAACCAGCAAAAAGCTAGGCTGGGCTAGGCGCCAGTGGCTCATGCCTGGAATCCTAGTTACGCAGGAGGCTGAGATCTGAGGATCACAGTTCAAAGCCAGCCCGAGCAGGAAAGTCCATGAGACTCTTATCTCCAATAAACCACTCAGAAAACTGGAAATGGGCTGGGGAGGTGGCTCAGTGGTAGAGCGCTTGTCTTGCATGCCTGAGGCCCTGGGTTCGATTCCTCAGCAAAAAGAAAAAAGCCGGAAGTGGCGCTGTGGCTCAAATGGTAGAGTTCTAGCCATGAGCTGAAGAGCTGAGGGACAGCGCCCAGGCCCAGAGTCCAGGCCCCACGACCGGACCAAAAAAAAATTAAATTAATAAAAAAATAAATAAAAAAGAAAAAAAGAAAACTGGAAGTGGCACTGTGGCAGGAGTGGTAGAGCTCTAGCCTTGAGCTGAAAAGCTGAGGGACAGCACCAAAGCCCAGAGCTGAGGGACAGCACCAAAGCCCAGAGTTCAAGCCTCATGACAAACAGACACACCAAAAAGGTAGGCTTGGGGCTTGGCTCAAGTGATAGAGCACCAGCCAATCAAGCAAACTGTTAGTAAGCTCAAAACTCTGAGTTCAAACTTTGATTCTGGAAAAAAGAGAGAGGGAAGGAGGGGAAAGAGAGAGACACCACAATTTAAAAATGAGCAAAATACCCAACTATATATTTCACTAAGATATATGAATGACAAAAAGCACATGGCAAGAGCCTCCACTTCCTTAATGTTCAGGGAAATGCAGTTTGAAGTAAAAAGCTCATATTAGTACACATCTGCAAAAAAAGCTAAAATGCAAAAATGCTGACAAAGACGATGAGATACAAAATGGTAAAACTACCAGAAAATGATTTGATAACTCCTTATAACAAAGTTAAATGTGCACCTGTGCGCGCACATGCATGTGTTGGCACTGAAGCCTGAACTCAGGGCCTCTTACTCTCACTTGGCTTTTTCCACTCTAAGGATAGTGTTCAACCATTTGAAACACACCTTCACTTCTGGCTTTTTAGTAGTTAACTAGAAATAAGAGTCTCATGGACTTTTATTCCCTGGCTTTAAACCGGGATCCTAAGATCTCAGCCTCTGTTGGGTGCTAGTGGCTCTCTCCTGTAATCCTAGCTACTCAGGAGGTTGAGATCTGAGGATCGCAGTTCGAAGCCATCCTGGTCAGGAAAGTCCATGAGACTCTTATCTCCAATTAACCACCAGAAAACGGGAAGTGGAGCTGTGGATCAAAGTGGTAGAACACTAGCCGTCAGTGAAAAAGCTCAGGGACAGCAGCCAGGCTTGAGTTCAAGCCTCACAACTCACAATATATATAAAATAAAATGAAGTGACGATTTGTTTCATAAGACAATGGCCGGTATGGAGGGCTGCTGCAGCCCCAACCCTAATTCATGGATTGCAATATCAATCCTAAATCTCTTTGGCTGACCTGCCACCTGCTTCTGATGGTCAGGGTGGACCTAATGCTGGGGATACAGCATTTTTTTTTGGAAGGAACCCAAGAATCAGAGACAGACAAGTGGATGGCACAGGCGGCATGGTACAGTATAGAGCTGGACTTCAAACAGAGTAATGAACTCCTAGGATGGTTGGGCCCCTATCTGTCCTGGATTGTGTCAGACTACGGCCAACACCCCTCTAAGGCCAAGGGGCAGGCAACAGTGATAGCCTTCAGCCCAAGTCCCACCAGGCCCGGACTCCTATTGTCCCTAGGTCTGATAACAAACCGCACCCTGGTGGCCCCCTCGCTGCCCCCAGTCAGTGGCCACAGCTCGTCAGGGTCTCTGTTCTGTGTATATAAGAGACCCTGGAAATGAATCCCAGCAGGCTAGTCTTGAGAGCACTTAGCTTCTGCACAGCCACCCCACCACCACCACCATGTCTCTGATCAACAGTGAAAGGGCCATCGTCAAGTCCATTTGGGACAAGATCTCCTCACAGGCTGATGCCATTGGCGCCGAAACTCTGGAGAGGTGAGCACCAAACGGGATAGCCTGAGTAAGCAGGTCAAAGGCCAGGGAAAGGGCTGGTTAGGTGGAGAGGGTAACAAGGTGTGGGGAGGAACAGTCCGGAGGGACGATGAGGAAGTGGTGAGGAGGGTCTCACACAGAAGGGCCCAGGAGGGCTGGGATGTGGCTCAGTGGTAGAGTGCTTGCCTCGCATGCATGAATCCCCGGGCCAAGGGTCTGGACAAACCTGTCCAGTGGACAGACAGACAGATGGATGAAAGGATGTGGGCAGTGGATGGATGAAGGGATGGTGGGCAGTGGACAGACAGATGGATGAAGGGATGGTGGGCAGTGGAAGGGGAGGCCAAGCCCACGTGAGCCTGGGGCAATAGGAAACCCCAGCGGGTCGTGTCTTAATGGAGCTTAGCTAGGCCTGAACGCCGGGCCTGGGCGGCCCTCAGCTCTTCAGCTCACGGCTGGGCTTCACCCGCTTGAGCCTCGCTTCCACTTTCTGGCGGTTTCTTGGAGATCAGAGCCTCACAGGCTTTCCTGCCTGGGCGGGCCTCGAACCGCGGTCCGAGTGGCCGGGATGGCAGCGTGAGCCTCGGCGCCCGGCTCGCCTTCGTTTTAAGCACCACCGAGGCGTCTTTCTCCTGGAAGCCCCGCGTCCGCGCCCCTCGCGCGGACCCTCACCCTTCCCTCCGCACGCAGGCTCTTCTGCAGCTACCCGCAGACCAAGACCTACTTCCCGCACTTCGACCTGCACCCGGGGTCCCCGCAGCTGCGCGCGCACGGAGCCAAGGTGCTGGCCGCCGTGGGCGAGGCCGTCCAGCACATCGACCGCATGCCGAGCGCGCTGACCAAGCTGAGCGAGCTGCACGCCTACATCCTGCGCGTGGACCCGGTCAACTTCAAGGTGGGCGGGGCCGGCGGGGCGGGGCCTGGAGGGATGAATGAAGCCTGTGGGCGGGGCCGGCGGGGCGGGGCCTGGAGGATGAATGAAGGCCGGTGGGCGGGGCCGGCGGGGCCTGGAGGGATGAATGAAGCCTGTGGGCGGGGCCGGCGGGGCGGCTCAAGTGGTAGAG